CCTTAAAGCTTAAAAGTAGGACTAGTAAGGAATTTTTCCTTTTATATTCTACATCAAAAGAAACCCTTACTCTTCTTGTAGACTCAATGTTGGCAGACCCAATGTTATATCCTATTGCAGCCACGCATCACCACTGGAGACCTCTCCGTCCGTGCCAGATCCAATGTCAGCATAGCAATTACTGCTATTATCTTTCTCCAACATTACTCTCTTCTCTTAGCCATCTTCTCACTCTCTCTCAACTATTTTTTTCTTCTTCTTTTGAAGTTCTCTGAACCATGTTTTCTTTTCTCATCAATCATGTTTTCTCTCTTGATTTATATTAATATTTTTACTTTATGGAATCATGAGAGGATGAAGAATGTAGAAATGGGGGTGATTTTTTGTGATGGGAGCTTGAACCGAGCCTAGCTCGAGCTTGATCTAGGCAAGCTCGCCTGAGCCCGAGCCGAACTTGAGCACACTTCAAATCTTGGCGAGCTGAGTCCGAACAAGTCAAAACTAGACTCTCGGCCTGGTTCATTCATAGCCCTAATCAAATCATATTACAAAATAGTCTTATCGTATTTAAATCTAATCAGATCTAATACTACGTAAGTCTGAAGGCGATTTACAAGTTTAATTAGAATGGTGATAAGCCGGGGTGAAGGTGGAGGCCACTTACATTGGTTAATCTAATACATATTAATCAAGTAAAGTTGAAGTTTGAACTCTCAGCCTCTCAGGCCAGCTCATATATTCTCCACTTTTTGCATTCACTTTTCTGTGATTATTTCCCTGTTTTTATTTACTTAGCTGTTTTATTTGGTACTTTTATTGGCTAATTGGATGGGTAAAATAGTTGTGACAGTTGCTCAAGTGGTAGAAGAGTCAAGCTAAAAATGTCTCCACTCTATTGATTTAGGTTCGATTCTCAATCGTAACAGGTTTTTATTATGTTCTTAACTGTAATGCACAAGAATTAAAGTACGAAATTATAAGATATCTTGAGATCGTGCTAAACGCACTAATCTGAATTAATTGAGTATTTAGGTCTCTTTATTATTTTTTTATTTTAAGTAAAGCAAAAAGCACTAACCTGTTTTAGTGCTTTAACAAGATGGGCATCAAGTGTGGTAGATCAACTATTACTACCATTTCATGTTTTTTTTTGGGAGGACTTGTATAAAATCTCTTAGAATACCCAATAATTGTAGTCTTTCCATTCCACATACACTGATAAAAATATTATTAAAAATATTCTTTAAAAGTGACCCCAAGCGAATTCCCACTCCTAACCTTCAAGCAAGCATAGTGCTAAAAGTTGAACCCACCTCAGTTGATGCCCTCCTATTAAGCGTCTTTGACTCTTGAATAAAAGTTGAACCCACCTCAGTTGATGCCCACCTATAAAGTGCTAAAACAGTTTTACCACAATTTTACCTTTTATTTGGTTCTAGAAACAATAAATTTATCAATTTATGGTGCATGTCTGACTGGAGGGGAACTTGTGTCACATCGGATTCGAACGGAGAAATGAATAAGTATATATGAATTAGGTGTTAATCTCACTTAATAATTAATTTTTTGAATTGGACCAGGAACACCAGACTTGTAATTTTGAAATTCTAAAAGAGAGATAATAGAACATGATATAAAACGCAAATAAATTAAAATTCAAGAAATGTTTAAAACATTTGGAAGTGTCTTCACTTAAGAAAAGGACGTATTTAAAATATACGCATTAAAAATGGGTCAAGTGCAGAAAACACCCCTGATGTAATACTTCTCATATTACTTTTGACCCTATTTGAAAAAATGTGCAAAAAACACCCTTATTCTTTTTAAATTATATGAAAACACCCCTCAATCCAAAATCTGACATAAAGTAATGTTGTAATACTCATTTTGCCTTTTTACTCTTTTGAAACTGCCAAAGGAGGTGTGTATACTAATAATCTAATAGTATAAGACTGTTATATGCATATTAACTATATTTAACCCACTTTTAAGGATTTTCTCACATTTCCAAAAAATAAAATTCTTTATATATTTTCGCTAATGGTGTATTATCTTTAAATATTATCTCTCTCTAAAAAAAAAGAAATTTGTTGTCACAGTTATCAGATTAATGTACAGTATATTATATGGAATGAAAATCTCAGTTCCTTTTATAATTAAATAAATAAATAAATAAAATAAATGATTCCCAATTAAAATTTAAATATAGTTATCATTTTTCATTAAATATATAATTAAAAATATATATATTAAAGATGCTTATTCATTACATATAAACATATACATTTAATTTTTTACACTTTAGAATTTGCAATAAATTTTCAGAAATATATATATATATATATATATATATATATATATATATATATATATATATATATACATAACAACAAATGGGTGTTCAATCTTTATTATTAAAAAAAAAATTAAAAAATAAATATTCAATCACCTACCGTCATTATACGATTTAAATCGCGAAAAAATTATGTTTTCAATTAAATCTAACTGTCAAGGATTCAAGATCAACAGATTCAAAACAATAATAGTTTATAAAGTACAAAAAATACCATTATAGTATGCTTGCAATGCGTATCACATAGTTTAATGCGTCTGGAGGGACCAATTTGGAGCCAATTGAAACTTTAATGGTATTTTCTGCACACGAGGGGTTTGTTATGCAATGTAAGCATACTACTATATAGGTGTTTTCTGCACTTGACCCTATTAAACATATATGAATCAAACATTGTGTATTGTAAGGGTTCTTCTGTAATTTTAAGAAAAAATTATTAAAAATAGGGTAAAGTGCAAAAAAACCCCTTGAACTATGTTTGCATTTGCAAATAACCCCCTTGAATTATATTTTGTACATAAAACTTCCTAAACTATCTCATTTTGTTGCAACATACCTCAAGAACTATACTATATTTCATTAAATGATCATAATACCCCTTCTCATTGAATTACATTTAATATATTTTTCTTATCTAAATAAATTATGAAAAAATTCAAACTAATTTGATGAGATATTTTCTATTAAATTTGCTTAAATTTACCTTTAATTTTTAAAATTAATTATTTTAAAAAAAAATTTTAGTAAATTTTTTTTTAAACAAAAATAATTAATTTTTTAATTTTTAATGAATATATTACATGAAAAGAATGTATTTTTTCAAAAGTGTTTTATTAATTTTTCATCAATATATTGTATGAAAAAGATGATTTTTTTATGATAAAAATTTTAAAATACATTTTATTATAAATAATAAAATTTTAATAATAAGTTAAACAATTTTGAAAATGGTAGTTACAAATCTATTTATCTATTTTTATGATAAATTGATACTAATAATAAAATTAAGGTAAATAGTATAATTAATATTTACGTAAGAGAAAAGATAATAAAAATAATTTAATAAGAAAATAAAATTTTAATGATAAAGGGTAAAATAGTCTTTTATGATAAATTTATCCTTAATCATAACAAATCAATAGTTTAGGGGGGCAGTTTTTAATTTAGGAGAATTATTTGCAAAAGGGTAATAATTTAAAAGTTTTTTTTTACACTTAACCTGGAAAATATATGAATCGAACGTGGTCTAGTGTAAAGGCTTTTCTATTGATTTCAAAAAAAAAAAAAAATGAGGGTAGAAAGAGAATATTGGTGAAGCCCCAGTATGCTGCAATTAATTCTTGATATTATATTAACAATAAATAATAAAAAATGCCCCATCTAAAATTTGTCTTTGCGGCTGGAATAAAATCCTATAACGGGTGGGCGCTTGTCTATTTATTCAAAAGCTCGAACTGTTAGGTAAGACTGCATACTCACCTATTTATACCCAATCTCTTTCCTATCCGATTCCGATGTGGGACAAAATGACTCCCCCCACCCAAACTCGCAACGCTCTCGTTGCGGTTGGGTCACCCTGCCTACCCGGGTGGACTCACCCGGACGCTTGACGTGGCACCGAATCAAGGATTGGGTTTGGTTTTGATACCAACTGTAACGAGTGGGCGCTTGTCCATTTACCCAAAAGCTCGAACTGTTAGGTAAGACTGCATACTTACCCATTTATACCCAATCTCTTTCCCATTCGATTTCGATGTGGGACAAAATGACCCTTGTTACACTTCCCCATTACCACAGCCGCAATTTGGTTGCCATACATATACAGATACCTGGCAGAGTACAATGATAAGAATATACTCATTCCGGCTTCCATCTCAAAAAAACAAGTGTGATGGGAAATTGTGAGGCACACTTATATGTGAGGCACACTTTCATTCCAAAAAAACTCCAATTATTTTGTTCTGATATTATAAATATAGGGACTATCTTTATTTTTTTTTTTATAGACTTGCATTTCGAAGCACCCAATTGACATTTGAAAATTAAAATAAGTAAAAATTTAGTTCAATTTTAAATATTTTACCGTACTGGAATTGTTGGCTCTTGTACATACATCATTTATTTGGTAACAGCATAATGAGAACCTAAATCATTGTTACAAATATAACAAATTCTAGATCCACACCAACCAATGGTGGTGCAATATTTATATTATGGAGTATTTTTACATCCCTATGTCAATATCATACATTTTGCTCTTATTCTCAAAGAAAGTGTGTCGTGCATGGAAATGTATTGTTATAAATACAACAAAATAATTTTTTGACCAATCAATTGATTTGTTTGACCGATAATTTTGAATTTGTCATACATACAAAAATAAAAAAGAAGTGAAATTCCCAACATAATCAATCAAAAGTTATAGGTTCAAGCAATTTACTTAAGGTACATCACATCACATAAGGTACATGGTAATTAATTAATTACGGTTTTTTAAGAGGGTATTTATGCTTCAAATCTTTTTGATGTGCCTCCAACGGTCCAAAAAAATGAAGCCCCATCAAGATAATAAGGAATCAAATACTCAAATCTTATGGAGTTTTCCCACAATTATCACCATCAACCCTATAAAAAGCCTCCCCGCCAAATCCGAAAGTCATCTCTCCCAAAGATCAAAGTGAGGAGTGTGAGCTTACTTCAAGGTCATTTTATGTGGTTTTCAACTTTCTAAAAGAAGCATGGGAGCTGAATTTTCTTCAATGCATAATGCCAATGGATCGTCCTTGTCAACGAGGACTTCCAAAGTTCTTGTGTTTCATTCCTCGGCCAAATGGAAGGCCCATTTTGAAGCCTCCAAACAATCACCAAAACTGGTGACCATTACAACTACCTTCAATACTTATTTACAATTTTTTTTTTTTTTTTTTTTGTTTTTCAATTCTCTACTCACGTGTCGTGTATTTTTTTATTTACTTTTTCAATTAGTAAATTTACTTTAAATACACACGTGACTCCGGCGGGACTTAGATGATTTCGAATCACAGGTCACTTGGCGGTCTAGCTTAATTAAAACTCATAATTCTAGACCAATCTAATAATTTTTTGAACTTTTTTAGTTTGATTGGACAGAACCACATGACCCTAGACCATTTAATAATTTTTGGCTCTTGTTTATAAAGTCTCAATCATATATTCGGCGTATACTGATCTCTCTGTTTCTTTTCTTCCACTTCTTGTTTTTTCTTCTCTCTTTCTCTCGGAGTGAAGATTGTGATCGACTTCACAGCTTCATGGTGTCGCCCTTGTCGGTTCATGGAACCAGCCATTGAAGAGTTAGCTGCCAAATATACAGATGTCGAATTCATCAAGATCGACGTGGATGAGTTAATGGTATTGCTACCTCATTTATTGATTTTTTCACAAGGAAATGAATTATTTATGTTCTTAATTGGTCTAGCTCTTTTAGTTTTGTATTGTTTTGTAGAAAAACAGAACGATACTGATAATGATGAATGAATGATTTAAAACAGGATGTGGCACAGGAATTTGGAGTGCAGGCAATGCCAACATTTATGCTGATAAAGAAAGGGAAAGGAGTTGATAAGGTGGTAGGGGCAAAAAAGGAAGAACTCCAGAATAAGATTGAGAAGCACAGGGTTTAAGATTACAGCTGGCATATAATATATGCAGTACTATATTTGCTGACATATTATAGTGGCTTGGTGAGAGAAGCAGTCGAAGAAAGTTTAAGAATTTAAATGATGAGCACTGACCTTAATGTAATAATATATCCAAATAAGATTGTAATATTGATATAATTCACATAAGGTGTTAGAGGAAGTTGATGCTAGCTCAGCATCAACATCAATTTATTATGCATAAATATGACCATGTCTCTTTTCTTTTTTCTTTTTTCTTTTTTCTTTTTTCTTTTTTTTTTTTTTTTCTTTTTTCTATGATATTAGTGTTTACTCTATTATTTTTTTGGCCCAATGGAAAGGCGACATGTGGCGAGTTCTAATGAGCTTGCTACATTGGATTGGTGTTTTAAATATCCAAAAGAGGAACATATGAGATTGAATTGTTGATGGGAGATTGGATACAATCTACCAATAAAGAAGAGGTATGCGGCATCGCAACTCTCGAAGAATTCTATTCAAGTATTAAAATTGTGTGATCACATGTGGAGGCAAGGAATACATGGGCCTATCAAAATCCACCAACAAGGAAATACTATATAATTGTTCAAAATTCAAGGTTCGTTCAACAAATTGTTTTTCATACATGGCGAGTTTTACTGAACTTACCATAGTATTGACTACTTAAGAATTGATATTATGGAAGTTTTATGGAAAGACCGTGTTTTCAAAGGAACCTAGAAGGAAGGTTTTCAATTATGTTAAGACCAAAGTTGACCAAGTAAGAAGAGGGAGAACGTGGGAGCTTGATTTTCTCCTAGATTTAAGGAAGTTTCAACAGTTATTCTTGGCTAATTCAACGACGTGGCTAAGAGGAAGTTGGTTGATGGATCAAAATAGCAAAATCGATTCCTGGATACATATATATATATATATACTATCCACAATGGGGAGGTTGATAAAATCAAGGAGTTCATGGCGCCATGAACTCCAAGACTCAGAAGGAAAGTTTCAGGAATTACCAAGCTTCAAGGGAACATGGTTGGCAGAAGATCATGGGCAATGACATATTTATGATACATTTATATTCATATATATATATGTGTGTGTATCAGATATTAACCCATGATGAGAAGTCATTGAAGTCACAAAGAGGCCACGATGACATGTTTAGAAGGAAAGTTCAACCAGTAGAGCACTACCTGAAATAAAGGAGACGTGGATTTACAGAATTAGAGATATATAGAATTCTATAGAAGGAAAGGATTACAAGGATCGTTGGACACTTGGCCAAACAGGGGTACATCAGTTGAAGGTGGTGGTATTTCATGCAATTGCTACCACTAACTGAAGCAGTTGTCAAAGAATATGGGTGACGAAGTTAACTAAAACGTGTCTGAAAAAAGGAGAACAAGAAATCATGGGACAGATGTTGATTTATAAAAAGGGCAAGTGGAAATTTAACTCCAGGAGTATACATAAATATGGGAATTATGGAGAACGTGTTTTGAAATCATGCTTAGAAGAAATATAGATGGAAGAAGAAGATGGAAGAAAGAGGTTATAACTGCCAAGAGATCATGGGGTACTTGGCAGTCTGAAATCTGGCCAAATAGAGACTACCAAGACTGCCACATACCAAACTATTGCATAGAAAGAATCTATAAATAAAGCACTTAGGCTTAGTTTGCAAATCCTGTTCAAATCATATAGCAATACAGCACTTCAATTACTTTACATTCATGTATCTTTACATTCATATAATGCACCTTCAATATGTTTAATTCAAGTCCCGCACTTATTTTTCTTACTTTCCAGCACCTTACATTGAAGTCCTGCACTTTCAATAACGTGCTTCTTTCCACTAGCCATAGAGTAGTCCAGAAGTCATTTTTCAAGGCAAAAAGAATCTCTGAAAGTGGTAATTCCAGTCCTTCGTACAGTCGTCTGATCCCTGCAGTCTCCTACTGGATAATTGTATCTTGGAACGTCCGGCGGGACATCTTAATAGATTGTTCAATGGCTGGTGGAAGAAGGCAAGGCAAGTTTGTCCAAGACCCTGCCGAACTAGAAGAGATATAAGCTAGTGAACTTCCAGTGGAAAAGTTCACGATTTGCACTTGATGAAAGAGATATGGTGGAAAAGTTTGCTCAAATAATGGCGAATGGACCTATCATGGACAACATCCGTATGATGGCAATACATCGAGATAGGTTTGCCAAGACCAAGCAAAAATCGCTCAAGACTTAGCCAGAGTTGCTCAAGACCAATTAAAAGTTGTTCTTTCTCAAGACCGAAAGTTAGAAAAAATGGTAGACCGAATCTTTCAAAGGTTCGAGTCTATATTGGAATGAGCCTTTGGAAGCTCGAACCAAGGTTTGGCCCCTCTGCCAAACAACTCTGAAGGTTCTCAATAGTCGGCCTTCCAAGCTATCAGGCCAGCCACATTTGTTGAAGGTAATTCCTCTCAACAACATGCAGGTTCATTCCCTCCAGCTCAGTAACAGATGCAGTCCCTTCCAATGGCACAGACATACATTCCAGTTGCACCTGTGATCACTTCAGTGGCACAGATGACTATTCCACAAGCGGCGCCCATGCCAGCCATTCAGCAAGTTTAGAATCCTCCACCTGTGAACATAATCTGCCTGGCCAACCATAGCTATACCACATTCCCCAATCACAACAAAATATTCCACCTGTGAACATTCAGCCAGCCGCACCTGATCCTCTAAAGCCACCAATGGTCAACCCTATGGCGGTTGGGGGCAACCTTTTCCAAGGGAGCCACTTCTTAACCAAGGAGGAAGGAACAACTATGCAGATACCAACCCACTGCTAATGGAAGGTGGAGGGCATCAAGTGGCCAATCTACCTAAAGGTTGTCCAGAAAACAACCTTCCACATCCCATGGCACTTGATGGAGGCCAATTTATAGAATTCCTTTAATAGGAATTTAGCCTACCTCGAAGGGGTGGAAGGACAACCTACAGAAAGCCCAATCCATAGTTCATTGATGAAGTTGAATTTCCAAGGAATTTCAGAATTCTAGAGTTTGCAATGTTCAATTGAGAGGGCGAACAATCCACATTAGAACATATCAGCCGGTTTACTATCTAATATGGAGAAGCAGTAGCCAATCCATGGCTAAAGGTACGCTTATTTCCAAATATATTAACTGGATATACTTTCAGATGGTATTCCAACTTGCCAGCCAACTTTATCAGAGTTGGCAGCAATTTGAGGATTCATTCCATACTCAGTTCTATAGAGCTGAACCTGAAGTGTCTATAGCAGACCTTTCTAGACTTTATCAGCTACCTAGAGAGTCGGTGATGAGCTTCCTGTCTAGATTCAGGAGGGCAAAGTACAAATGTAATTATTGTCTTTGTCGCTGGAAGAATATGTAAAGATGGCTGTTAACGGTCTAGAATTTGAAATTCGAAAGAAGTTTGAAGGAGTACAATTCCATGACTTGTTCGTCTTGGCCGGTAGAGTGGCTAAGTATGAAGAGCTCTTTCATGAGGAGTAAGACCGGAAGAGCTCCTCCAAGGGCACAGGCACCTACTATCGTGATCCAAATTATTAGGTGTATACCAATGAAGTTAGGGGAGAGTTTAAGGTGAATGTGGCTGAGGTCAACATAAAGAAAGCCTATACTTATGAGGCTTTGGCAAAACCAGAATCAGCCACGGCCACCTTGTAGGTTGCCTCTGGTTCCAAGTGGAAGGGGGCAGACCCTTCCAAGAGTTACTCTTTTAGCATCTCTAAAGCCGAGCAAATATTTTATTTACTCATGGCTGATAAACAAGTGATCTTCACAACAGGCCACAAGATACCAACGGCCTTTAAAATGGCCGAGAAAGAATATTGTAAATTTCACAATTCATGGAGACGTTCCACTAACAATTGTGTAATTTTTCGCAATATTGTGCAGAAGGAAATTGAAGATGGTAGGTTAAAGTTTCCAGAAAAGACAGAAGTCATAGGTGCTGATGGAAATCCTTTCCCCAAGGTTATTGCCACAAATGTTACTTCTCTTGCCCTGGAGCACCCTAAGAAAAAGGTGGACTTGGTAGATCAAGGGTTCAATGAAAAACTAAGAATTCCTGAAGCTGCAACATCCATGGAGAAAACAGTGGCCGAGTTGGAAAAACAACTCCGAGAGGCTCAAATAGCCTTAATCCAGTAGGGTTGTTGCCCTAAGTGTAAAATACAAAATGAAGGTTGCCATAGAGACTTTCCAAAAGAAAAACAGAATGAGAAGCTCTTTAGTGGCGACCGAGGTCAGAAACGGAAGGTCCGACTAACTTTCCAAAAGGTGGAAATCTCAGTTACTGTGACCATTGCAGAGAAAGAAAGCCAGGTCCATATAGAAAGAAGGTCAGCTGCAAGGAAACCAGAATTTTTTCCATGGAACATGGAAATGAATAAGGTTCCTTATGAGGCAAGTTTCCATCCTAGTAAAAAGTTTGAAAGTAGTAGTTGGCGTGTGTATGTGCAATTCGTCACACCCAAACACTTGAAGATGAAATACACAGAATATAGACGAAGGAACAAACAATTTTTAAAGAGAGAAGTAGTGATAGTAATTCGATGCCCTTTCATTCTCATTCATACTCTATTTATAGGCTTTGTTTAGAGAATTACATGGAGCCATTTTTTGGCTTTATTTCCAGATGTGGGTATTTATGCTCACTGATCGTGTGTATACCTCTTTTATAGTGAGCGTTACGGACTTCTGGGCCTGTCGAGATTGGGCTATCCATCGGTTTATATGCCACGCAGAGCTTCTTTTGTATAATCGAGCCGAGTTGACATGTGTGTATGGTTTCTGTTGTTGGGCCTTCAATTGATGGTGGGCCTTTGGGTGTTTTTAGCTTAGTAATGGGCTGCTCTTTTACTGCCATGTGGTGTATTATGATTAGTGGGGATTTTTTCCTCCACACTTTGCCCCCGATTCCTTTTATGAATTCAATTCATATATGGAATTGTAACTGTTTTTAGGAAGTGGAGAAGTTTTTACGGCTATTACTGCCTATCATCCCCATTCATGCCCTTATTTTTTTGGGGTCTCGTGTTTGCCTCTTCGTTATCTGCCACATCCTGTCCATATATGTTATGACCTTGTTACTTGGGTGTCTTTCTCTAAAGTTTCGTTCTTGAAAAGAGTTTTTTCTGCTGCTGCATAACCTTCTTCTCGTTTGCTAAGGTTAGTCATTTTCTTACTCTATTTCTGTCATTATGAGTCAAACGAGTAGTGACCGAACTTACAGTGCTCGTGCGTCTAACTCCGAGTCGGTGATGTCAGCGGTGAGTTCCAGTGGTGACGTTAAGGGGCCGGTTGTACTTCCTCTTGATATTGTAGAGATGAAATATTTCTCTATTGCACAGTTGAGAAAGAAGAATCGTGTCCTTTCAAGTGTTACCCTTGAGGCATATGATCATAATTTGAATTTTAGCATCGACGAGGGTTTAGAGGAAGGCGAAATGCTCTTTTC